ATTTACACTTGCCACAATATTTACTTCGGTTCGGTTTCTGCAACAACTTTCGTATTTGTTGTGGTAGGTATTGCTTACTTTGTATTTCTCAAATGTCATTTTTACATGGGATATTTGCTGGGAGCTAAAATCGTTAGTACAAATGTAGGTTTCTTCATATTTCAAGAATTGAATAGAAATACGATATATGTTATTAGGAGAAAATATCAGCTATTTTGTTATTTCAAGTCTTTCTATGAAATGTTCCGGTTAAACTGATAATGTTTTAATGCTATTTTTCAGGTAATCTATGTTTTAGCCAAACAGTATTATTCAGTTAATTGTAAATCGTCATAATAATATTGTGTAATATTACAGATGTTGTTATGTTAAACATATTAAAGAAGCTGTCGTTTAAAATTGTGTACATCATGTAACAAAATTAAAAACCAATTGGTTAATGGAGTAACAGATGTGGATACTTCGGAAATCTTACAAATTTGTGACAGACGTAAATTGAGGAAAATTGTAAATCAGTTTATATTTACCACTGTTTTGTGTCTGCCATATGGCATCCCCGATTGCCCAGGCACCTGGAATAATGAAAAAGAGCCCCATGTCGTGATCCGTTGGCGTCCATACGCGGAGCAAGACCAAGAATCCGGCGTTCAGCAGGGTCGCAAAGAGGTACAAGGTCGGCCGGCCCAGCCACTTCGCCAGCACTCCATTCAGTGGCGATGCTATTGTGTTGGTCAACCCAAAACAAATCATCGTGTAGCCTACCCACTCCACACCGAGTTCATAGGCGACATATGCCTAGTATAGGAGAAACAAGATTCTTGTCATTATAAAGTGTGTTGTCTTCACGCCTTATTAAGACTATCGCTTAACCTAACACATAAAACCGATACCACCTGGAACACTTGTAGTTGCTTACCAGCAGATAATATTTAGTTTTCGATAATATTCTTGCGGTTTGTTTTTGTCTTACCTTAAGTATGGAGTCATTTTTTAGCTTTACAATAATAAATTCAGCAGCTATGGCGATTTGTTTAACTCATAAGTCTTGCCCTAGAGAACGAGCGTACATGGTTTCTTGTTCATAAAACAACAAGAGAATAATGAAATGTCAACCAAACCATCATTCGAACTGAAAAGCGATAAAACTAGGGCAAAATATTAAGATTTTTGTTTACATGGAAACCATTGAAAAGTACAGCGAGAGTGAGGCCATGTGCTCCTGATGGTAATTGTCGTCTGCTCCTCTGTTTCATTGACGACACCCGCCATTTCTATCTAATTAAACTCCAAGTAATATCGCATCATTAGAACCGAGATGCGGGTAGTGTGAACAAAATCACAAGGTACAGTGATGAGTATAACTAAACATGTGTCGTAAGATTGTCCGTCAGCAGTCGTTATCGATCACAGAAGTGATGATATTCGGAGCAAGCTCTTGCATACCGAATCAGCTATGACATGTAAACACCATGTGTTGGGGGAGAAGACATGTCACTAACAAGAGAAGGAAAGCTCACGGCCGGAAGTCAAAATCGTTCCGCCTATCAAAAGCCGTCCCTGTTGGTCATATTGTAAGTAAGGATTGGGGAAAGACGCTGAAATAAAACAATCTGTTGTGTTCTTGATTTCAATCTCAGGAGGGTTCATAATACAATAGACGTGGTCAATTAATTAATTTTTATTTTAAGACAGTGCATCGTCAACATATTTGAATATGAAATTGAAGTACTCATATCTTACCCTAGTGAACTCAGCATACATGACGACTTGTTCCCCGTCGCTGTACATCGCCAGTGGTACCAGTATATATGGCCATATTACTATTGGTTAACACCAATTTTAAGTTTCAACAAGAGCCGTCATCATACTCATGACGTCACTGTTGTATCTACTTTTGATTGGTCGCAAGAGAAATATGATGACGAGGAGACCTGAAGTCATAAAGTCACTTTCGTATCTTGTTTATTACAAAATTCGTACCAAAATTGAACAACTATGAAAGTTACATTATTTCCGTAACTAGTGTATTACTTATGTACATGTACCTATGAACAACCAAATCATAAACAAGGAATACCGTAACTGAAAATATATTAGAGCTAAACTACATGCGTTATGTATTACGTGTACCTAAGAACAACCTTAATAAACATATTTGGGAGAAACTTTAATTCCGCATACAGTTTATTATTTTCGTACCAATTAATAGCCCATAATCTAAAAAGGAATGTGGGTGAAAAATGCTCCCGTATCCGGTTAATTATGTACATGTGAGTTCAAATGAACTACCTACATGACAAAATGATGATGATGATGATGATGATGATGATGATGATGATGATGATGATGATGATGATGATGATGGCAAAGACGAAACCTTTTTGATGTGTGTGTACATGCGATAAAATAAACAAATCCAAATAGATGAATTGGTAAGGGAGATCCACTTCTTGTGCTGCTTCCGGTTTCCTACTTACCTATCAATGAACAGCCCATATAAACAGAAATGAGATTGACCACTACTTCCGTATCCGGTTTATCCGATGGACTACTATCTGTAGTGTTCGTCATTTCCGAATCTGGACAAAAATCTGCTCCACATGTATCCCCAATATCAGTGGAGTTTTGCTCGGACTCTCCGGCCTGTAGAATTATAGACGATAACAGATTTCCCCATATCTGCGTACTTTGAAAAGCCATGCAAAATATCCCGAAGAATCGACTTAATACTGAATCCAAACTTTCATTGACGATTGTTGCATATTGTTTTGCAATTGTGCTTATGTATAATCCTTGCGCCGTCCATAAAATTCCTGACGAAAGTCTGTAAATAGCAGCTCCCGGAAGTAGGATATAAGCTGCCGGGTAATAGTTAGAAGCAATGAATATTGACAAACATGTCCCCGACAGAATCAGTGCTCCCTTGGGTCCGATGTAGTAAATGACAGTCGGGGCTAGTATACATGATATCAGACCCCCTGCAGTGATTATAGCTAGGGAGTAGACACCGATATCCGGATTAAGACTGCTTTCCAGATTTTGAAGTCCGGAGTACGCAGTAAAGGCGAATATCCAGATGAGGGATATTGCGGTAAGATTAATGTAAAGCTGTCCTTTCGTTGTAGGTGTTACCATATACTCCGGAACCAATAAAGTCGTGTGTTCTTCCATTATTCCAGTATAGTGTAACCGTCCGTTTAGTGTTCCTTATTAATGGTGCTATAGGACAATTACGCCAGACATGTCTATCTATTTTTATATGCGACGATTACACATATTTCTATGTAAGTTGGAAACTCAATGAGTACCCAGGTTAAAAATAACAGACACTCACATTACAACCTGATAATAAGTAGTTTTCCTAAAACCGACATTTCATAGACAAGCCTATTTCAGCACTCGATACACAAGTGATGTTATCTTTATTGTAACCTTATCCACACATGTCTGATATGAAAGTGTGTCCACATGTACCGGACAATCAGTGACCCCTCCTCTGTCCACAATCGCCGGACAGGCCGTGACCACGTCGTGTACTCGAGTGTCATATAAGGAAATATACATATCACACACACTGTCTGAGTTATGATGTAGGCAATAAGACTCTAAGATTGCCCCTGTGCACGTTTGGGGAAAGACTCGATCATTGTATTCCATTGCACAATCATATAAGGCGACTAATACGGGGATTCCTGTAGTGGTTTTCTTTAGTGTCTTCTGCCTAGGTACGTCGGTGGGACCGGAACAGACCTGTAATCTTTAGTGCAAAGTCTCTTTGTTTTTTCTTCGCACTCATACATACTGTCTATTTCGGCAGCCCTAGGCTTTTGACACCGTTTTCATTTGATCCGAGCTGTTGGTGAGGAAAGAAAAGATACATTGACACCAGGAGTCATACCAGTACCTCAACAATTTATGGAGCTAGTCAACGGCAATAACTGTGGACAATTTCCTCGACTTGTTTATAGCAATTACACATGTAACTATGGACAATTTACGGAGCTTATAAAATACTATAACCATAGACAATTACGGGGCTTGTTTAAACAAAAACTGTGGACAATTCACGTGGCTTGTAAAAACGGTTACTATGGACAATTTAAGGAGTCTTTTCAATAATAATAACTATACACAATTAAGGGGCTTGTCGACTACGCACCGATTTCCTTAAAGTAGAATGAGTGTATTGATAAACAGAAATAGGAAGTACATCCCTTGTTGAAAAGCCAATATAGGGAGACAGTATCACAATTTCCGCATATTCTAATGAGTCTAGAGTTGTGGTGAATATTATATGTTTATTATTGACAGAACAGTGTGTTCTCTCAATACTAAAATATTTCAAAGCAATCCAGGCATTAATTCAGGTTTTTTTTATCAATGAGTCACATGTGTCCATTTTTCTGTACTTCAGGAAACCGGCTACCTATTTCACTACTGTGAAGTTTTTCAAGAAAGATAACTCTTACATGCAATTACTATGTGTATATGGTTTTACTAAAAAATGTCAATTTTTAATTGTTTATAGATGACTTATTTAACACAATTTCAGCTGTTATTACATTGATATACATTAATGAAATTCTAATATATGGCAATATCAATTTTATTGACATTATTTTGCAAAAAATTGTGTCTTTCATGTTTTTTTCAAAATTCACTCCTTTTTACATAAATTTCCATTTAAAATCCTTAAAGTTCTGACAACCTATATTTTTTGGTGGCAGAACATTTTCTTTCCTTTAAAGCAATATATCTACAGAATTTGAAGAAATTCTACAGAGAATCTGGTTCTTGGATGCAAATCTAAGTAGTAAGGGAGATTACCCCTCCTGCTTTATGATGAAAAAAGCATGACTGGACCGCATTTGGTCCTGGATCATTGTACATGCTGGTGTCCTTGTATTACCGTGCTTATCATTGTACATGCTGGTGTCCTTGTATTACCGTGCTTATTATTGTACAAACATGAATCAAAACATAACAACTCATACTGAACACAATACATATTTATTAAAAAAAAATCAGTATTTCAACAATAAAACGATTGTCATCCGCAGCTCCAAAAGATAAGTGAATTTATATCTTGAAATGCTATACAATATGTTCTTCACTGAATCTTCACAAATATGCAAATTTAGTCAATGTGAATGTTCGTCTGTGGGAGCCTCGCTGTACACGATCACGGCTCTGTATCGTATTCTGACCTCCACAATCAATACCAGAACGACAGCTAACACCAGCCACGCCCCAACAATGTAAAGCTTCACGTCCAGGCACACATAGTTGCTGAAAAGGTACACAACGAAAAATCCGAGAGCTTCAAACATCCGAATGTTCCCGAACGCTGGTTCCTGTTGCGACGGAAACACGTGACCCACGAGAGCTGAAAGAGTACAAAACATGGATTTTAATCTACCCGGTAAATGGAAGCACAAGTTATCTATCAGGCAGAATTATAATGCAACAATTGTAATCTTTCATTTAAAGAGACATGTTGTTGGTATTACTATTGTGTATTTAAGTTAAAACCCAAATAGATGTCTAACATTTATTTCTGAAACTCATCTCGCCCCTATGACGTCACAATCAACCAAATTAAATAATATGTAAGACAAACTAGTGAAAACATCATGATAAATAATCAATTGGAGACATAGCATTTATCAACTCCTTACTGACCACTAGTTTGTGTCTGCCATATGGTATCTCCGAGTGCCCAAACCCCGGGTATGACGAAAAAGAGAAACAACTGGTCTTTATCGGGTATCCACATCAGTAGCAGGACTAGCATCCCGGCGTTGACACAGAAGCCGAAGAGGAAGAGGAGAGGACGACCTATGTATCTAGTGAGAATGCCGTTCAAAGGGGAGGCAATAGTGTTGACAGCACCAAAACAGATCATAGCGTACCCTACCCAGGCCAATCCAAGTTCGCACGCCACGTAAGCCTGCAAAACAAGGACATTCATTCAATATTTAATGTGTTATGTTTTTCATTCCGTAGGCACTGGCCATAGTTGACCCCCCCATCCCCCCACTCCCCTACNGAAAAGTGACCCATAACATAGAGTGTTAGCATGAAACAGTAATGTATCATATTTCGGTGTGTTTACATATCTACCAGTCGGTTAACATATCTACCTGTGTATACATATCTCATCTACCTGTGTATAGACACATCTGTCTGTGTGTACACATATATACCTGTGTATACATACATCTAACTGTGTGTTCACATATCTACAGTGTACCTGTGTATATACATATATACCTGTGTATACACATATCTATATGCGTGTACATACTACCTGTGTATACATACATCTACCTTTGTGCACACATATCTATCTGTGTGTACACACATATACCTGTGTATACCTGTGTGTACACACATATACCTGTGTGTACACATATTTACCTGTGTGTATACATATCTACATGTGAATACACACGTCTACCTGTGTGTACACATATCTACCTGTATATACATATTTACCTGTGTGTACACATATCTACATGTTTGTAACATATCTACCTGTTTATACACATATCTAACTGTATATACATACATCTACCTGTGTATACATATCTACCTGTGTAACATATCTACCTGTGTGTAACATATCTACCTGTGTGTTCACATATCTACGGGTGTTACATATCTACCTGCGTGTTTACATATTTTTCTGTATGTACACATATCTACCTGTGTGTAACATATTTGACTGTGTGTACACATAATTACCTGTATGTACGTATATTTACCTGTATGTACACATATCAACCTGTGTGTAACATATCTACCTGTATGTACACATATTTACCTGTGTGTATTGGGCGTACATGACGACCTGCTCCACACCACTGTACATAGATATGGGTACGAGAAGCTTCATATTCGTGTCCGTCCCCAGAAGTCGAAGAGTTGAAAACAACGTTGTGACAATGCTGGTTGTTTTGTCCTCGCTACTGCTAGACCGGATAGGCTTCAGAAAAAATGCACCAATGAAAAAACCACACATTGCACATCCGATGTAAATGATTAAAAGTACATTTAATGTATCTTCTGGTGGTTTAGGAAACGGAGATGGGGCGGAACTATTACTGGAGGAGGAAGCAACATTTGGGCAAAATGCAGCGCCACATATAGTCACCGTTGAGTTCGATTCATTTGTAGTATTGTGTGATGCTCTACCATTTTGAAGAACAAGTGATGAAATCAGATTCCCCCATATTTGTGTGCTTTGAAACGCCATGAGAAAAAATCCGAAAAATCGACTTATGACAGTTTCAGCCTGTTCGCCAATCACATGCGCATACTCTATAGCAATGGTCGTGACGTAGGTTCCTTGTGCAGTTAACATAAATCCGGAAGACATTCCGTACAGGATCGAGGCGGGAATCAGAACGCCAGTCTTTGGGTAAAAGTTTGCTGCAACGTATGCAGCCAGGCATAGCGCCGCCGACGAAATAGCCCACTTTGCTCCGACGAACCTGATCACGGTCGGTGCCAGGATACAGGAGACGAGTGCCCCTCCGGTAATGGAGGCTAAGGAATATATCCCGATCCCCGGGTTTAGACTACTCTCCAAATTCTGTATACCAGAGTAAGCTGTGAAGACGAGCATAAATATCACACAGAGTACGAACAGGCTACTTCTTAGTCTCCCGACAGTGTTTCTCTTCAGCAGCCGACCTGAAACCTCAGCATCATCATCTAGCAACCCTGTCTTTTCCTCAGTCGCTGACATAATTGGTACTTTTTATCGTATAAGGTTTACATTGTTCTCACTGGAACAAAAATACAATTGGGAAGAGTTACACTGACACTGGACTTCCTTGTTACACCATGTTTTGATTTTGTTTCTTTCTAATACATGTGACGTGACATTTTACTTTCAACATACATGCAATGTGCTACTTGCACTTTCATCGACACCCTATCGCACAAGATAACGTGAATCTATTCGTAAGTGTGTACCCTCTATCGTTCTGTTATCTCGCACGTATACAAATACCGTGGTCAGTGGTCAACTTGTCTATTGTTAAGCTACCGACAACGACAATATTAGCAAGGTTCTGTCCCATAATAGTTTTTGCATCAGAAAACCCGAACAGTTCACGCCCATTCAATCCATGATCTGATTATTGTTATCAAATAGTGGTGACCGCCCATTGTACACTCAATAGATCTGTAATTGAATTATAAAGCAGTGAAGATCTTGGTCCCATCAAAAGTTTACGTTTAATTACAGTTCTGGAGTCTCTTTAGAACACATAACAACAGATATTGCATAGCTTGACAAGTGACGGAGACACATGTACAGGTGCTAGTCCGAGCCAGTCGTGGATTACAATCAAATTACCAGGAAAACACCTGCCAGTGACCAGCTCAAGGTCATCCTCAGGCATACCATTAACATTGACACTGCCCATTGTCAACAAAGGCCTTAAAGATAGATGTTGTTGTTCCCATCTTAACGATTAGCATTTAAGATAACCCAAGCTTATTTATATACGAAACTTTTATATAAACTGTTTCTACACCAAGCAATTAAGCAGGAAGTCATAAATTCTATATTGTCGCTATTCGAGTGATTAGACCTTTGCAGAACGTCGACGCCGGGTTTTTTTTGTTATGAGACAAAATTATTTAAAACGGCTTGACAGTAGCTGTATGTAGTGCTGGTTCCCTGTCATATATATATGTATCTGTGATTTAAATTATACAGGATGTTAGTCCGAATTATTCTGACGTTTTATCGACTTTTTTCATATCGGTCTGTCGGCGATTAACATCAGAACTCCGGCCCTCTATAATATGCTGTAAATATGCGACCCGCGCCCGGAGCGCACTTCAAACTGATATTTAAGAAACAAATCGTCACTTTCACACACATGTCGCACATGGATCGAAAGATCTATTCTTTATGCACTAGGTGGTATCAATAACATGTTTCAAAGATCATTACGAAAAGTTTTTTCCAACGTTTTCTATACCAACCCATGTTTTTAATGGAAATTAGGCCATGAGCAATGTCACATGACTTGACAAGAACTCGCGTTACCGAAGATATTTCCCAACGTTATGACGTAGGCCGGCCAGATTTTAGTCACGTGCATTAGAAGGCGGGGATATAAAAAAAACTAGAGTAAAACAGAGTAAGTTTGAAAAAATACGTTTTTAGTAATTGTATTAGTTGTTTGAGGCATGTTATGTATGTTCATCTTGTGCATAAAGAATAGATCTTTCGATCCATGTGCAACATGTGTGTGAAAGTGACGATTTGTTTCTAAAATATCAGTTTGAAGTGCGCTCCGGGCGCGGGTCGCATATTTCCCGCATATTATAGAGGGTCGGAGTTCTGACGTTAATCGACGACAGACCGATATGAAAAAGGTCGATAAAACGTCAGAACAATTCGGACTAACAGGAGGTTAGCTTGACACATGAGACGTAAGCATTATGTATAAGTATGGCCGATTTTGACAAAGGCTTTCGCGAGGATAATAAACTGTAAAGCATGTTAACTGTTTTATTACCACCATTTTCGATACTCCAGGGGTTTCCTCACTTTCTCTCTCTCTCTCTGCACCCCCTGCAATACGTCAAAGCAAAATAAAAGGCACGTGGCTGGCTTTTTGGTTGGTCTCGGGTAAAAAAACCTGACTAATCGCTAGGCTGATACGTTTCCATGGATGATTAAAGAGGAGTCAGTCAATTTTACCGTTACGCAAGAGACACATTCCTTTGAGGTACATCAAAGTATTAAACTCGTCTCATCCACAAGGAGGTTCACACTTCGATTAAATATTCCAGGAGTGCAGAGAGCGGGAGTAAGCACTACTCCTGGAGTAGCTAGGATGTATTACAGGTCTACCAGCGGGAGTGCAGAGAGCGGAAGAAAGCTCTACTCATGGAGTAGCTAGGATGCTATTACAAGTCTACCAGCGGGAGTAAGCGCTACTCCTGGAGTAGCTAGGATGTATAACAGGTCTACCAGTGGGAGTAAGCGCTACTCCTGGAATAGCTAGGATGTATTACATGTCTTCCAGCGGGAGTGCAGAGAGCGGGAGTAAGCTCTACTCATGGAGTATCTAGGATGTATTACAGGTCTACCAGCGGGAGTAAGCGCTACTCCTGGAGGAGCTAGGATGTATTACAGGTCTACCAGCGGGAGTGCAGAGAGCGGAAGAAAGCTCTACTCATGGAGTAGCTAGGATGCATTACAGGTCTACCAGCGGGAGTAAGCGCTACTCCTGGAGTAGCTAAGATGCATTACAGGTCTGCTAGCGGGAGTGCAGAGAGCGGGAATAAGCGCTAATCATGGAGTAGCTAGGATGCATAACAGGTCTACCAGTGGGAGTAAGCGCTACTCCTGGAGTAGCTAGGATGTATTACAGGTCTACCAGCGGGAGTGCAGAGAGCGGGAGTAAGCGCTACTCATGGAGTAGCTAGGATGTATTACAGGTCTACCAGCGGGAGTAAGCGCTACTCCTGTAGTAGCTAGGTTTAGTTTAAACATATTTTATTGCCAAGCAAATGGATTGGGCACAAGTTATCAAACTTATATTAAGCCCTTTCCTAGCAAATTACAAGCATATATTTACAATAGTACAACAAGATGGCAGAATTAATATACATATATACACTATTTCATTTTTAAATGCTTTAATTTATAAATTGAAATTATAAGAGAGAGACAGAGAGAGAAAAGGGGGAGGGGGAAGGGAGAGGGGGATACTAGTCTGTAATAGTCTGTAATTATAATACATACATCCTCATCATTATGTACGACATATAGTATCTGCCTCTTAGAGAGAGAGTGGATATAGTGGTACTAGAATCTGTTAGAGTAACGAATGTATTGCTGAGTATGCATGCATATCGTTATGTTTTCCTGTTCCGAAATAGATGTATCTCCAAATAAGAGTAGATTTAAATTAAGAGGCATGTATTCATTCAGTTCACGATAAAGCTTAATTCTTTGTTCGTTATATGTATCACAGGTAAAAAAGAAATGGTGTGTGTCTTCAATAGGGAAGCCACATATACAACGTTGGTAATCAATGAGGTTAACCCAAAACAGGTCACTTTTCAAAGTACTAGAACGGTTTCTTAATTTTGTATGCAAAATATTATTTTTCCTATCACCATAGAAAAAGGGGTTTGGTACAAGCGGCAAGTTTACGTCTTGAATGGCGTTTCTAAATGATGAGAACGTGGCACTACGTCGTATACTAGTAGGTAACTGGTTCCACAGTCTAACAGTAGAAGGAAAAAAGGATACGTTAGATTATTCAAGTCTGTTGTTAGGTAGGTTGTAGTTTTCAACGTTTCGAAGATTATAGTGAGAGTTATCGACAAGGGAAGGGAGTAGAGTGTTGAGATAGTTAGGAGCTATATTATTGTGGATTTTAAAAAATAATTGAAGTTTTCGACGGGATCTCCGATGGGCTAGAGAATCCCATCCAGTTTCATTGTATATAGATTGTCTACTAGTAAACGACGGTAAACCAGTGACAATACGTCCAGCTTCAAGTTGTAAATTTTATAACTTGTCTGAATCAGTAATAGAACAAGCATCCCAAAGTTCGCAACAATATTCTAGAATAGGAAGTATAAATGTTCTCTATATTTTATTCAGTGTACGTCGGTTCAGGGTATATTTCAATTTACGGAGGACACTTAATTGTTTAACTACTTTTTTACATATATTATCAATGTGATAGGTCCATTTACAGTTAGCATTGATGAATACTCCCAGATGCTTATGATTTTCAACAAATTCAATACTTACATTATTAAAGTTAATTTCAATGAGGTGATCAAGATCAATATTAGAAATAAGTAAAGCCTCTGTTTTTGCAGGATTGAATTTGACAAGCCACTTATCTGCCCACAATTGTATATTTACTAGATCATTATTAATTTTTTGTTCAATTACTTGTGGTGATTTATCCGAATACAAAAGAGAGGTGTCATCAGCAAATAGTTTTGATAGACTTTCTATATTATCTGTTATGTCATTAATATAAAGTATAAACAGCAATGGGCCAAGAACCGAACCCTGAGGTACTCCTGCATTTGTTCTCTTAGCAGAAGATCTACTATTTCCAATAAAAACTTGTTGAGATCTATTAGTAACATAATCAATTAACCAGTC